CCCAGGCTGGTCTCCAATTCCTAGTCTCAAGTGATTTTCCCTTTTCAGATTACAGGGAAAAGCCACTGCACCTAGCCTGGAATGCTTTAACACTTAGTATCAAAGTTGTTTTGTTGTTGTTTTTTTTTTTCTGGCCAGCAATTAACTAGAAAATTCTATTAACCAATATACCCCTTTCCTTTCTTTCTTTTCTTTCTCTCTTTTTTTTTCTTGAGACAGGGTCTTGCTCTGTTGCCCAGATTGAAGTGCAGTGGTGCGACCACAGCTTACTGCAAGCCTCAAACTTGTGGGCTGAAGAGATCCTCCCACTTCAGCCTCTTAAATAGCTGGGACTACAGGTGTGTGTATCATGCCCAGTTAATTTTTATTTTTATTTTTTTTCAGAGATAGGGTCTCACTATATTGCTTAGGCTGGTCTCAACTCCTGGGCTCAAGTAATCTTCCTGCCTCAGCTTCCCAAAGTGCTGGAATTACAGGCATGAGCTGCCGTACCTGGCTTATCCTCCTTTTCATATTACTTTTGGGTTGGTTGAGGTTTTTTCCTGTGCATTCTTAGGCATATCATGGAAGCATAATGGCCATTAGAGGTTAGTAGAGCACAGGTAGACAGTTAAGACCAGGTTCTGTCATACAGTAGAAAATTTGCGGACCTGAGTTTTTTTTTCAGGTTTATTTGGAGAACAAACTTAGGTGAACAAAAAATACTTTATTGAGATGTGATTGACATCCAAACATTTGTATGTATATAATATACACAACTTGATGAGTTTGGAGAGAAGTATACATCTGTGAAATCATTGCTACATTCTAGCCCGTAAACATATCCATCAACTTCAAAAGTTTCTTCCCATCTACTTATTGATCATTATTATTATTTTGTGGTAAGAACATTTAACATAAGATCTACCCTCTTAGCAAAATTTTAAGTATACAAAGCAGTATCGTTAACTATAAGCACTGTGCCATATAGTAGATTTCTAGGACTTATCTTGCATAACAGAAACTTTGTACCCTTTGACTAATACCTCCCTATTTTACTCTCCCATTAATCCAGACAAGCACCATTTCACTCTCTGCTTCTGTGAATTTAACTATTTTGCATTCATCATTTATGTGGTATTTGTCCTGTATCTGGCTTATTTCACTTAGCATAATGTCCTTCGGATTCATTCCTGTTGTTGCAAATGGCGGAATTTCTTTCCTTTATAATGCTGAATACTATTCCATTGTGTGTTTATACCACATTAAAAAAATCCGTTCATTCATCGATGAACATTTGGGTTGCTTCCATGTTTTGGCCATTGTGAATAATGCTGAAATGAACATGGAAGTGCAGATATCTCTTCGAGATCCTGATTTCAATTCCTTTGGATACATACAAAGAAGTGGAATTGCTGGATTATATGGTAGTTTTATTTTTAATTTATTGAGGTACTTCCATGTTTTCTATAGTGGCTGTGCTAATTTACATTCCCACTGACAGTATAGAGTATTCCCTTTACTCCCATCCTTGTCAACATTGGTTATCTTTGGTCTTTTTGGTAGTAGCCATGCTAACATATGTGAGGTTGATATCTTAATATGAATTTGATCTGCAGTTTCCTGATGAAAAATTTACTCATGTATTTCAGTAATTTTTAGTATATTCACAAGGTTGTACAACTATCAACACTATCTGTTTCCAGAAAATTTTTATCACCCCCAAAGAAACTGAGTACCCATTAGCAGTTGTTATTTCTCATCCTCTCCTTCTAGCCCTTGGCCACTACTAGTGTACTTCTGGTCTCTAAATGTTAGGGGCTAAAAATCTTGTCTTAGTTTGTTCAGTTTGCTATAAGAAAATACCATAAACTAGGTAATTTATAAAAAACGTAAATTTGTTTTTGACAGTTCTGGAGATGGGGAAGTCAAAGATCAATGCACCAACAGATTTGGTGTCTGATGAAGGTCCGTTTCTTAGTTCATAAATTGTGCCTTCTTGCTGTGTCTTTACGTGGTTGAAGGGGCGAATGAACTCCTTTGGCCTATTTTATAAAGGCACTAATTCCATTCAGAAGGGGTCCACTCTCATGACTTAATCAAATTCAAGGGCCCCACCTCCCAGCACTATTGTTCTGGGGGTTAGGATTTCAACATATGAATTTGGGAGGGGACACGGACCTTCAAGCCATAGCAGTTGTCATTTCACTTTCTTTTGAGACGGAGTCTCGCTCTGTCGCCCAGGCTGGAGTGCAGTGGC